CTTTTCTAAAAATTGCAGGTATCTCCTGGTGATGTTGTGGAAATGTCAGGCATTTTTCTGCCTATGCCTTACACTGGATTTAGAGCTATGCGAGCTGGCTTAATTGCAGATACTTACTTGGAAGCGATGTCTGTTACCCACTTCAAGAAAAAATATGAAGAGTAAGCTATTGTTATTTTTCTCCTCTTCTACTGAACTTCTTCATCTTCTTGTTCTGCTAGTAGTCCTTTTCGAGATGAATTCTGTCTTGTACTAGCAACTGGAAAAGCTTAACTGTATGCAAATTGTATCAGATTTTTCTTGAAAGGATCAAAGTCTGCTTTTGGCACATTGAGGAGTCAAACTTTGATTCCAGATTCAGCTTAAATTCAAAATTTGAAATCTCTTGTAATTTAGCCTGTTTCTTTATTACTTTTTCTCTTTAAATGTTGTTGATATATTATGTTTGGAATAGATTCAGACTACTTCAGATCAAATTTATCTCTTTTCTGGTTTCCTATTTAGAATGTTAGGGTACTAACTTGCTACACATAACCCTTTTCTCAGAAAGATACATTTACTTGTTCACTACTGAAATGGAAAATTAAAGTTTTTATACTTGCTAAATTTTTTTTAATAAGGAAGATATGATCAATATGTTTTGAATGCAGTTATGAACTTAGAGGAGATGAGGAAGAGCAGATTGCACGGTTAGCTGAGGATGGGGATATATATAACAAGTTGTCTCGTTCCTTGGCTCCAGAAATTTTTGGGCATGAGGATATTAAGAAAGCTCTTCTTCTTCTTCTAGTAGGTGCTCCTCATCGGAAGTTGAAGGATGGTATGAAGGTAACTGCCCCAGCCTGCCTAAATTGAAATTCATCTTCTGACTATCTCCTGAGATTAAGAAAATATGATAATCTTCTATGATAAAAAATCAGATCAGAGGAGATTTGCATATATGTTTGATGGGTGATCCTGGGGTAGCAAAAAGTCAGCTTCTCAAACACATAATCAATGTTGCACCAAGAGGTGTCTACACAACTGGTAAGGGAAGTAGTGGAGTTGGTCTAACTGCTGCTGTTCAGAAAGATCCAGTAACTAATGAGATGGTTCTTGAAGGCGGAGCACTGGTGAGAACAAATTACTTTTTTTCCTCACTGCATCTAGTTTTGTACAACATCATAGTATGAGCAATGTGCATTAGGAGTTCGGACTGTATCAGGTATCTTTCAGTGATGCAGTATCCTCACATAGTTGATCTCAAAATCATCTATTTCCTAAGTGTTCTGGGACAATGTTTCTTCTCAGGTATTGGCAGATATGGGTATATGTGCTATTGATGAATTCGACAAGATGGATGAGTCTGATAGAACAGCTATTCACGAAGTAATGGAGCAACAGACTGTTAGCATTGCAAAGGCTGGGATCACTACATCTCTGAATGCAAGGACTGCAGTGCTTGCTGCTGCTAATCCTGCCTGGTAAACATTTACTTTCCCCTAATTTGAAGTGTGACCTTCCCTGTATGTAAAACTATGCTAAATTTTGAACAGATGGTCATCCAATTTATTTTTGGTGGCAGCTGGCTGTGGTAATTCACAAACTTTAAAAACACTCACGATTCTTGTTCAAAATATTTTTAGGGGAAGATATGATATGAGAAGGACGCCAGCTGAAAATATTAATCTTCCTCCAGCTCTTCTATCAAGGTTTGATCTTTTATGGCTAATCTTAGATCGAGCAGATATGGATGCCGATCTTGAAATGGCTAGACACATTGTTTATGTGCATCAGAACAGAGAATCTCCTGCTCTCGGGTTCACTCCACTTGAACCATCTGTGCTTCGGTAAATACAAGAATACCTTTCTGCTGTTTTAACCTCTGAGAAAATCTCTCTTAACTAGTTATTAGTGAGACTTAGAATTGACTACATCCTTTTTTTTTTCAGGGCTTATATTTCAGCTGCTAGGAGGTTGTCTCCCTCTTGCCCAGAGGAGCTAGGGGATTATATTGCTGGTGCATATTCTAGTATTAGGCAAGAAGAAGCAAAATCCAACACTCCTCACTCTTATACAACGGTCAGAACACTGCTAAGCATCCTGAGGATATCAGCTGTAAGTTTCTGCATCAATTTCCAGAGTAAAGTATCTAATTGCATCATAGTAAGAGTTGGAACTATTTTTCTTTCTTCAACTCTCACTTGAAAATGGGAACTTTTACTGAATCAAGTGTGACAGTTGGCAAGTGCCAGGTGGAAGAAAAAGAGGGATGAAGCTTTCTTGTTCTCCCTAGGCTAAAAAGCAGAAATTGGGGCTAGCTATCAGTAGGACAATATGGGTCCTTGAAAATATAAGGCTTTACTTTCCAAGACAATTCTGGACCTACCTGTCCTGATCGTAGGTTCTACAAACTCAAGTGGTGATAATAAGTTGTAAATATAGTTTGGTCTCCTTATAATTATAAGGTCAAATAGACAATGATAATGAGGAATTAATCAAATGAATTTCATAACATCACCTCCTCTTTAATTGCTGCCTTTTACACTTTGTTGATGACATTTTACTTTGTTAAAATAGGCACTAGCTAGACTACGTTTCTCAGAAAAAGTTGCTCAAAGTGATGTGGATGAGGCGCTTCGGCTAATGCAGATGTCGAAGTTCTCCTTGTATTCAGAAGATAGGCAAAAATCTGGTCTGGATGCAATATCTGACATTTATTCAATTTTGCGTGATGAGGCTGCTAGGATGAACAGGCTGGAACTAAGCTACTCCCAGGCTCTGAACTGGATTTCCAGAAAGGTTAGTTTGTGGGTAATTTATGCAGATCAGGCTGGAAGCACTACCCTTGTTGGTAGCTTGATATATACTTGGATCTAATGTACATGTTACATTTCACACATGCACATATCTGATGATATAGCTGAATAAAAAAAATGGTGGATAATTGTGATTAAAACGGAGAAAAGAACATGATCTGTTAAGCTTTTAAAAATTGTTTGTGCTATGATTTCTCAATGAAGTGGTGGTACCACTGCATTGACTTTCATACTTTTGGGAAGGAAGCATGCAGAATGATAAATACGGTGCCTTTGTTAGAACATTCTTTGCTATTTGCAAAAGTTTTGCTTGGTGCAAATTCAAAGTATGCTAGTTTATCTTATTGCTGCTGAACTTCCCTCCAGCCACCGTCATTCCCCCATACAAAAGAGAAGGAAAGAACATATCAGATTAAATAGCTCAATCTGGCAAGTGCTATAGTACCAGTATATTCCCAGAATTATTCACAGTGAGTCCTCTTATGGTGAACAAAGAGATTGACGTAGCTTCTTTTACTTTTACTCAGGTCCGCACATGTTTTTAACCAACTGAATCAGTTTTCAACTGATCAGTTACTGCATGTACTGGCAATTAGCTAAAGATTAGTTGGGATGTATGTCTAGCTTTATCAATACTTTTGAGGCTACCTCACTTCATTCTTTGTTTTTTCCTTTGACTTTGTTTTGATCTGTTTGCTTTGAATTGGTGACAATCTTCTTTAGGCATGGCAATGATGTTTTGCTATGGGTTTTCTCACCTCTGATATGATGATTATCTTGGAACAGGGATACACTGAAGCTCAACTAAAGGAATGTTTGGAAGAATATGCAGCCTTAAATGTGTGGCAGATTCACCCCGATAGCTTTAATATCAGATTCATTGATGCATGATAGGCAATGGAAACATATCTAGATGCATGATAGGCAATGGAAATATGTACTGATGCATGATTGGCAATGGAACAGTGTGAAACCAGTACTTAATTCACGGTGTCTTCCCTGCTATTAGGTTAACCATTTCTTGTTTGTAAGGAATTTGCTAGTGTATTATTTTCTAAGAAGTTTCTATGCCCCTCAGTGTACCTTGGTCATGACAATGTAGAGCAAATTCTTCCTGTTAACAGAAACATTGTTAGCAGAAGAAAAACTTGGCACGATCAATTTTACTCTTCTAAAGGACTTAAACGTAGATCTTGTTCAAGATGCAAACTAAAATTATCTTGTGACATAGTGAAATCATTTAATTGGTAGCAAAATTCTACGAACTTCTCAAGTCAGCGATTTGCATTGTTTCAGACTTGAGAAATGCTGCAACATTATAATGTGAATGTATATAAGTATATTGATGTTTTTGCTTAAAATAATTCAGTTCTCAATATTGTTTTTATCATAAATGACCACCAGAAATTAAACATATTAAAGTAAACAGGAAAATTCTAAAATTACATTGAGAAACGTTATCTCAAAGAATTTATGTCTCTGTGAATTAATATTGAATTAGCTAAAAAATAAACACATTCAATGCAAATTATCTTTTGCTAAAAAAGACAAATGACCTATAAATAAGCCATGCAAATTAATTGAACTTATGGCAAAAATATAAGTGGAAAAACTTTTAATTTGCCTTATAATTACAAATTGGATGAAATGCCCAAATATAGCGGAATATAAATAATTTTATTAAAAAAGAGAACAAAATATTTAAATAATTTATATCATCAATCTAAACTAGTTTGAAATTAAAGTATAATTGATTGAATTAGTATAATTTTAGAGCAGAGTTTAACTATTCAATAGACTGCTTCTTAAAGAAATCGACAAATACGATTTGATTTTTAGATAAAAGGGAAGTTTATATAAGGAGACTTTCGGAATAAAAAGAATTATAAAAAATGCAATAGAAAAAATAAATGCAATGAAAATAATCGCACTCTCAAATTGGTCTGATAGCTACCAATATAATTTTTTTTTTTGTGATAACTCTGCAGTTAATCTAATAGGAGTTGTACTTTTATTTTGTGCATTCTAATAAAATATGAAAGTCCAATTTCAAAAAAAAAAAAACTTAAAATAAAGAAAAGGAAAAGACAAGGTTTTAACTTTTTACCAACAAAGTAGGGGAATTGCGGCGTCAAACGGAATTGCGTTTTTTCCAAATTTTGGATTGGCCATATCGCCAGAATTCATAGTACCACTGTATTGTCTTTTCTATTTTCCTTAAAAAACATTTCTCCTTCGTTGTCCCCAAAAAAGAGCTAACTTTCCATTTCCTTTGGAAACAGTTTCTGTGATTTGGAGGCTGAGGGCGAACATCTGCATCTGAATTTACCGCAAAGTAAGTGCACTGTTTAAATCAGAACCCCTTTTAGCTCGTCAGTTTCTTGCCTATAAAATCATCAGCTCTTCTGGGGATAAGCTTGCTCTATTTTTCTTAGGTCAATCATAACAAACTACTTCTTTCTTTTACTTTGACAAATTTGGTCTCTAAATTGCACATACTTTGCTGCATGTTTTCTGTTTTTTTATTTTTTGGTGATAAAAAATTTAAACTAGGGGAGGAAAAGAGATGCTAATCTAATATTAGTTCCTATTAATTTTTTTCATTTGAAAATTTCTGACTAAGAAAATCCCAGCTTACTGTGCTTTGGGTTTTTAGGCTGATTTATTATTTGTCTTTAGAGGATTCTTGATATTATATATGACTAGTTATGCAGCTCATCTTTAATCTAGCTAGAGAATTGCATGTTAATTTTTTAATAAAAAAGTGTGAGATTTAGAGAATATTCGGAGAACCCTAATTTGCCTTAAAAGGCAAATTATTGATCATAACTGGAATGAAATGGGTCAACTAGAGCGGAATTGAAATAGCGGATTCATACACGTTATTTTTGATCTAGTTAGAGAATTTCTTGTTAGTTTACAAATAAGTGTGAGATTTAGAGAATCTCGAGAGAACCCTAATTTGCCTTAAAAAACAATTATTGTATCGCAATTGGAATGGAATGGGTCAACTAGAGCGGAATTGATATAGAGGATTCATACACGTCATTTTTAATCTAGTTAGAGAATTGCTTGTTAACTTACAAATAAGTATGAGATTTAGGGAATCTCTAGAGAACCCGAAATTGCCTTAAAAGACAAATTATTGATCGTAATTGGAATGAAATGGGTCAGCTAGAGTGAAATGGAAATAGAGGATTCGTAGAGTCAATCACAACTAGCCTCGGATTATGACATAGCTTAGTCATTAACATGATTGGCTGAATGTTGTGTTGTTTCTGTAGTTTAATTTTTTTCTTTTTTCTTGCGTCCTATTCATTATCTTGTTAGAGAATTTTGATACCAAATTTGTGTGAGGGATCTTTTGTAGCTTATGGTTTGAGTAATTTTCACTTATTGGGTTTAACAGGGGACTTTGAATATTTCTAGAAAACATCAAACGGTTTCTTAGTTTATTACTTGTTCAATAAATGAATCTTTATGGCCCTGTTCAAGAAAAGATTAAATATTTATGGTTTAATAACTTAAAAAGTATTTAACTTCCTCCTGCATAAACTTTTCTGAGGTTTATTAAATTCGTATATGTTAATGTTTGCAAAGTTTTTGGTAGTTAATGGTTAAGCCAAATAACCATAGATTATGATCCTGAGGCGGATACAATGAGGGATTTATTGTGGATCTGCTATCTGTCCAGAGCTGTGTGGGATGTATGAAAAGGAGAAAATGGAAGGACGTAAAATGAAGATGTCATGTCCATCTTCTTTATATCTGCAAGGGGTTAATGACTAATGAGTGGATTATAATCCCATGCCCTCCTCTAGGGCAATTTTATCTTGTCAATCATTCCGACGCATTAATTCTACCAAAATTGTCTGCTTTCCTGCTTTGTTCAGTCCGATAAAGGTTTCAGAGCAAGCCTAACTTTTTTTTGGCTCCCAGTATCTGTGCCTTTTGAAGCTTAAACAAGAACAATGCTAATGATCTTCTAACAATGGAAAAGCTTGGTTTCACAAAGAAATTAGTACCTTTTGATGGATCCATAGTGTGTGACAGGCACATTCAAGCTTGCCATATTAGCTCAGGGAAGAGATCATGCTCTCATAGTAAGTACTAATGATGCTAAAGGAAGAGGAGAGTTACAATTAAAATGATGACCTCCAACACCAGCGGTGATTAAATTTATGGAATACAATAGTTGCACCATTCTGGTATATCAGTTATAAACCCTGACTTTCTAGCGAGTAAATTATTCCTCAGCTGCTGTAGGTTAAGTAACTGAATTCGTGCTTTCCCACCATTAGATAACAAACAATATAAGTCAAAGGGAAAAAATAAGAGGAAAAAATCGTGATTAAGCTTTAAATTAGACTAATAGGAAATACATATCACATCAATACTTTTGCACTTCAAAAATAGTGTATCATTAAGCTCAAATTATCAGATAATGATAAGGTTGTCCATATCGTCCATTAGCTGGTTGGTTTGGGTGAATTGTATGTATCAAGCAATTTTTGACCTGCCACACAGGCCATTAATTGTTCTGTTTTTACTGTGATCTATTTCTACCAAGTTGCTGGCCCTTTTTTTGGGAACAATTCCTACCAAGTTACTGACTTCTTTGGCAAGATGTCTTCCGGGGACTAAGGATGTAAGAGAAGAGGTAAAGCTCGAGGATACTGAGTTGTATGCATGATTGATTCATAATTACGCTCTATTTGATGTCAGTTTGATTTTGAATCTTTGGAAATTCTCTATCCATCTATGCTGAGGACATGTGGGTATGCTTAGCAACCTGCTTTTATGTGCTTTATAAAGCTTTGCACTTTCCTCTCCCATTCCGATGTGGGATTCGCCTAAGGTGTTATGTGCACCCCTTTTTCTGAAGTTTGCCAGCTTAGAAGCTTGCCAATCTTTCTCTTGGACCCGCCGTCATCGGCCCGCCCTCCGTCATGGGCATCATATAACTTGCAAATTCTCTTTTAATAATTAAAAAGAACAGTTACAAGCAAGAAACAGGTGCTTGAAGTGTATTGCATATTATCCAGATTTTTCTTGCCTTTTGTGTCCAATGTGGATTGAATTTGGAGTGATTTTTTCCATTGAAGAGTGAACCAATTAACTCTTTCCTTGTTTGGTTGGTGGAAAATTGTGTGTTATTGAGTTGCCGGTACTCAATTAGGATGATGTAGGCATACCTGTTCTTCAGTGTCTACTGCAGTGGGAGAAAGATGGAGAGCCCTCCTCCCCCTAACCTATAAAGAGTTCTTATGTGGTTAAGAAATTGCAAGCTAGTCCTATGCAGTATGGAATTACCCGTGTTAAGTTATTCTACTAATCAAAATGAAAACACACCAGTTCCTGTTAAGGAAATATCATGTGTAACTAACAATAAAAAAAAATCATGTGTAACTCTAAAACGTTATTTCCTATTCAGTTGATGTAACGTGCTTTGTGCACCTCTCCTCGTTCCTGTCCCCCTCCCCCCCTCCTGTTTCCATTCATTGAATGATAAAATTTTGGAATTCATGCATTAACTTGTTCGCGACATATTCTCCTACGTTGTTGGTTGAAGTCTCATACAAATCCTAGAGTTCTTTCAGGTTAATTTTTTCTACTCCCCTAAAATAGGTGTGAAATTGCTAAAGATTTTTTTCTAGTTGGTTTGCCACTATCCTGATTTCATTATTTTTCTTGCTGCTAGTGTGCAAATGTGTTAATTCTGTAGTGTGATACTTGTGATTAGAGATGTAAACATTAGTCTTATAATAACTTCCATGCAGCTGTAACGTGAAGGTGAAATGAAAAAGAAAGGGGGGGGGGGGGGGTCTTGTTATTGTTTCATATATTTGTTGCATGATAATAACATGTTTGGAAGAATCACATTTAAGTGCTTCTTTGACCTTGTATAGCGACCTTTGTACGCCCCTGTTTCGTGGTGGTTAGAAAATTGATTGAATTTGCTTTCTAATTTCAGTTCATGAGATTGTAGAGTCGTGAATCTTGCTCTTTGAAGAGGAATACACAGAGTGGACAATTTATTCGCTAACAAAGGATGGATTCAGGGAAGTGTACATCTAGAAATGGCGCTACATTATCAAGTATGGCACCTACAAGTTTCCTGAATAGGGTATACACAAAATCTCAATTTGAAGAAGAATCGAGATTTGCTGAACATACCCCAATGAAGGATGTAAATATTGACCTTAGAGAAGTTTATTTTCTGATTATGCATTTTTTGTCATCTGGGCCATGCCGAAAAACGCTTGGGATACTCCGTGATGAACTTTTGGAATATGAGCTTCTACCTAGGAGATATCATACTTGGTATTCAAGAAAAGATGTACCCAGTGGAGATGACGATGACAATGGTGTTTCTTTCCCTCTAAATTATGAAGATCTGGTGCTAAGGTGTGCCTCGTAAAAATATTTTTATGTGTTTGTACACGAGATGTGATCTAGGGAATAGTTGCTTCAAATTGAATTCTCCCTGGATACATTTGTTCAATTCTTTTATGAATTTATTTCAAATATATGATAAATGAATTGTGGTAAAGAATTTCAACCTATTCTGATTAAGTCCTATAGATTTTAAACTTTCTTTTTACAAATTAATTATGAGCTACTTTTCTATTATACTATATATTGCTTTCGCAGTAGATCTTTTGCTTATATAGATATGAATTCTTCATACTTAGTGACGCTTTCAAAATGATTATAATGTTGCGTGCTGGGTCCTTAGGAAAGTTGACCTGGTTAACATGCCACTCTCCATCTATTTCTGCTTATTTTCTTGCAAAGGTAAATAATTTTATTATAAGTAGGGGAAAACCCCGTATATTATCCATCTGTTTCTGCTAAAACAGTTAATTCACATTCCTGATCTTTTGTCATTTAAACCTTTAGTTTGCTGATGATAGGTATCCTCATGTTGAAAAGGATCACTTAGTAAAGTTGCTTAAACAACTGCTGCTGAGTTTGGGTCCTCCATTGCAATGTGGTGGGGGAGATGCCCCGGGTGCTGCTGATGTCCCCACGCTACTTGGATCTGGGCCTTTTTCTCTTTTGGCTTGTAAGTAATTTTATGATGGTTTAAGATCTAATAAATATTCTTTTGTAAAACGACCTACACATGTCTCAATTTTCTCTTTTTCACTATCTTTTTTTTTGGTTTAAACAACTCCTTTCATCCTTAATTAATTTCTCTACTCTCCTTTCGGGCATGTGCCGTGTATATGTCCACCTTTCTGAAATATAAACCTCTTCCCTGCACTATCCAACATTTCTTCAGATTCATGTCACTGGATAGTGAACCTATATACTAACTGGAGTCCAAGCATATTACAAGATTAACTTTATCTCTCTACTCTTGGACTGACATACACTATCACTATTCACTTCAACTATAGCTTCGGTACTCGTTTTGGCCAACAGAGGATAAGCCAGAAGAAGAATACCACAATTTACTGAGTAGAATTTTGGGGATTGTATTGCATTTGAATTTGTGTGTTTCTTTGGCTTTATAAGGTGTCTCACTCTAAAGCAGCTTATAGGTGCTTTCTTCCTATAAAAAAAATTCTTTTGGCAAGTATTCTGCATCTTTGATTGTGAACGATGTACTATCATCAATTTGTTTTGGTGAGCTAAGTTATCCAGGAAAGCTTTCCAAACTACTATATCTTCAAAAACTAGCTTTATTATTTGCACTGTGATCTTATTGTACATTGTTCCTCTCCCTTTTCTGCTCTCTCTCTTAAGTAGCATGATATTTATGTTCTGTTGGCAGTCTAGGTTTTTCTGTTTATATAAGTTTTAATATGTGATGGACAGGTGAGAGAAACGGAGTAAATAAGCAGGCTCAATCCCTTCCTTCATACCTCCGTTGGCCACACATGCAGGCTAATCAGGTGCATGGTCTAAGTTTGAGAGAGATTGGAGGTGGTTTCCCAAAACATCACCGTGCTCCATCTATTCGTCTTGCAAGTTATGCTATTGCAAAGCCGTCAACTATGGTTCAGAAGATGCAAACCATAAAGAAACTAAGGGGACATAGGGATGCTGTTTATTGTGGTATGAGTTTTAAACTTTCTAGTTTGCTTCTGCATCTAGACACTTGAAAGTTTTTTCTCAAATGGGTTTTCATTCTGGGCACGTCATAAAACACACAACTTCGTCTGCTATACATGATATTCCAGAAATTGAATGCTACTAGTAGTTTTAAAGATAGCTGCTGTTTTTCTATTGTAGAGACATTTAGCAGTCTTTAAGGCTTATCATATTAGAGATATAATGGATTGTCAGTCAAAATGACATGCGAACCTTCAACTCAATTTCTCTGCCTTTTTTCTGTATCGTCTAGCAATATTTGACCGCTCAGGAAGATATGTGATTACTGGATCTGATGATCGCCTTGTCAAGATTTGGTCAATGGAAACTGGATTTTGCCTGGCTAGTTGCCGAGGACATGAAGTAAGTTCACGGAAGTTTCAACTTCAGTTCTTCCTTATGAAATGCGTTTTTGCCTTTTTCCACTTATTTGCTTGTCATTCTATTAGGGTGACATCACTGATTTGGCTGTCAGTTCAAACAATGCTTTAGTGGCGTCTGCATCAAATGACTACAGCATTCGAGTTGTAAGATTCTCCTCCCACTTGACAGACATCTTCTTGCTTTCTTTGAAGAGTAATAATTTTGGGCAAGAAGATCTTCTGTTGAAGAGTGAGCGGCTTATCTACTTTCTCTGTACTTCAGTGGCGTTTGCCAGATGGGTTACCTATTTCAGTTTTGCGTGGACACACTGGAGCTGTCACTGCTATCGCATTTACTCCAAGGCCTAGCTCTGTGTATCAGCTTCTATCGTAAGCCACCTCTAAGACTTGATCCTTATTGTTGCTCCTTCTCTTTGAAGTGGCATGATGCATCATTATGCGTAAGAGATCTAGCCCTATTTGATTAAACCAAACAGATTAACTGTGACTTATGGAAATAACAAATTTGCAAATTTCTGAATTTGGAAATTGTTGGAGTATCTTTTTTTTTTCTGAGACACGAGGGCCGCATGGGTGATTGTGGTCTTGTATCTTTCTATTTTTACAACTAATATTTCAACTTAAAAATGATGCATCAATCTCACCATTTTTATCTCCTTTTGCTAGTTTTTTTAGTCAAACAATTAGTGACAATGCATCTGTAAAATTTATTATAGCAAATTGTTTGATACGAAACACATACTGACTTGAAGTAGAAAAAGTAAAAAGAATAGCACATTGTTGAAGAGAGAAGTTATACATCCTTAAACTGACATAAACAGCTTCATTTCTTTCTCTTCACTGGCTCCAATTTTTCACACCCAAAGGTTAAAAAAAAAGCTATAGCTCACTGGTTTTCCAGATTTTGGCATTTGATTTCTCTGATATATCAATTATATACGGCATTGCACACTGTCTAGATGGTTTCAACAGCCAAATTGATATGTTAAAAGTTTCTATAGCTTCATCCTAATCATCATCAGAATTAGAATACTACTTCTTAACTGAAGTCGATTCATCACCTAGTGATTAGCCTCCTTACCTTCTAGAAAATCATTCCTCATGTTTTAATTTTTTTTTTTTGATAAGGTAAGATGTATTGTCTAAGCTTTGGTGAATAGAGTTACCTGGTACTTGTACTGGTAGGAGGTAGTAGGTACCCGTTAGAATAGTCGAGGTGCGTGCAAGCTGGCACGGACACCATCATTATGAGAAAAATAATCTTTTCAAACGTTCTTCTGTGAAACCTCTGCATTGGATCAAATTGGCTATCTATTTTATAATGGAGGGAGTAATACGATGGAAGAAACTAACATGATAGCAGAAGAAATGGAAGGAATATTTGTGGACTAATCCATCACTGCAATTAAGTAGGGCTGAGTGCCTACAGTAAGCTAGTAAGATTAAGACTCAACTTATTGTTCTTTTTTTGATTAGTTTTAATTCTTTCGTTGTTTGTCCTAGTTTTAAGAGATTTTACGAAGTTCAAATTTTAATGATGTGATGGGAAATCCCACTTTTTAGGCCTGCACAAAAAGTACTTCTACATAATCTTGTAACAAAGCTTGACTCTACAAATTCATCTGGTCATCAACAATAACTCATGAAAAAACATCAACGATAACTGGAATATCAAAATAACTCAAAGAATTCACAGAATAAACATGTTCCACTAATTAATTCAAAAGAGTATTCTACTCCCTCAGATGCGCTCCTATTTCTCTCTTGCCATATTGTCCACGTAAGCTCTAAAGGAGCTACTTTACCTTTACTTATCAAAAAGGCTCAAAAGGATCGCATGCTCTCCTTGTCCTTCTCTCCCTTCTCTTATTCCATCCCATAAGCACCTCTCATGCGCATCCCCAGTTCCAATCTGAACATGCTCCGCACCAAGGTCCTGTATTCGTTGCTTTATTTCCTCTTTTATCCATGTGGCATTGTATATTTATAAATACAGAGACTTATCTGGAGGTCTCAGTTGATCTCAGACAGCCCTCAAATATACACAAATTGTGTTTTTGTCTGTACTGCAACTCTATACTAAGCTGTTTGGTTCTCATAATGTAGGAATTTTTACATCACAATATGTTGTTTTAAGAAACTCTTGAACATATATGTCTAGCTGTATGCCAGGTAGTGCATGTTTTTGTATTTATGTTAAAGCAACAGATAAAATGTAGTTTTTCTTATTATTTATTTTTAAATTCCTCTATAAAAATTCCTTCTAAAAAATTCCTCTATAAAACTTCCTTTGAGTTAGCGGACTACTGAAAGCATTAGATGGAGGATATGGGAGCCTTAGACTAAACACACAAGAAAGCTAGTAAACATTTTACACTAGGCTATACAATCGACAGAGAAATCACTTTAATCTGTATTCATGTCTATTAAAGTTTCTTGTTAAGTAACATGGGGTTTAGGATGACTTACTTCATGGATGTGTGAGTTACTTCTCTTGTGTTTTTGTTTCCTATCGGTAGGTCATCAGATGACGGAACTTGTCGCATTTGGGATGCTAGGTATTCCCAGTGTGTTCCACGCGTTTACTCGCCGAGGCCAAAGGATAACGTTTCTGGTTAGCTGAGAACACGTTATTTGTCTGATAATGTTTAGTGTTGGTTAGCAAGCTTGTTAATGGATTTTTGTTTTATGCAGTGAAGAGCAGTGCTCCCGCAATAACCAACATTCAGTCCTCAAGTAATACATCACATAACCATCAAATTTTGTGTTGTGCATACAATGCCAATGGAACTGTCTTTGTCACTGGCAGCTCTGATACTTTAGCGAGGGTATGCACAAGCATAAAATGTTATACTCTACTATAACCCTGTCAAATCTCCATTATTAAGATAAACAGGGATACGAGAAATTTTCGTTATTAGTCAATAAGCTCTTAGTGTAATTTACCTTTTCTTTTGATAAGGTAATATTTTATTAATCTCTTAGTATAGTTTACCTGACAGATATAATAGATCTTCTGAGCTTTCTTTATCAAAGTCCTCTAATTAATGTCTGACCTAAGGAGTATTATTTAACCTATTTATGGCAAAACCCATGTTTGAGTGGTTGTTACCCGGCAATATGAAACTTTCGGTAACACTTAAACATGGAGTTTACCGTGTGAAGTATGCAAGAAATGTTAAGAATGTGAACGATGTGAAAGTTTTTGGTGTACTCAAGACTTATTTTCGTTGTTTTTTCTATTACTGGGATGATGATATTGTATGGATTCACAAAAATGATTCATCGTCAGGTCTGGAGTGCTTGTAAATTCTCCCCAGATCGCCCCGAGGAACTAAATCATGAAATAGATACATTATCTGGTCATGAAAATGATGTCAACTATGTACAGTTCAGGTTGGTGCAGCCATGTTGTCTCCCTTAAAAACGTCATCACTATCTTACTTGCAATTCTTTTATGCAGTGGCTGTGCAGTTGCTTCACGATCTTCAACTTCTGATTCATTTGTGGAGGACTGCATTCCAAAATTTAGGAACTCTTGGTTTGTGAATGTCTTTTTCCACAGTTCAAATGATCTCATTATGTTCCTAATATCCTTTTTATCAGCTATAGTTAACTCGTGGTTAAACATAAAATAGAGTTTGGTCTGTCAAATTGACTGATGGGAGAAGTTGCATTAATTTGTGTAATTGTGTTTGTTAAAACTCAATTATTCAGGTTTAGCCATGACAACATAGTCACTTGTTCTCGGGATGGAAGTGCAATTATTTGGACCACAAAACCACGCAAGTCGTCCCATGTGAGTTCTTGGCTGCATCAATTTGATTTCTTTCGTGGAATAAGTTGAGATAATTGGTGTTCAACTTCTAGATTTCTCGTGGATTTATTTATGAGAAATAAGAGAAAGAATACAGGCCTAAAATTATGCATGTATTCTTTTATAGGCATACTACAGAATGTATGCAGTACTTAACCTGATGTGTGGGACTAATACACACACCATTACATTTGTAAATTGGGACTAAGTCTAACTGCCCTAGTGTATCGTCATTGTGTACATATTTCTCTGTGCTGGTGCTTTCTGACTATTAATGTTCTAATCCTTTCAGGGAAAACTTGGACGTTCTTGGGGTAAGGCATATCATCTTAAAGTTCCTCCCCCGCCAATGCCACCACAGCCTCCTCGAGGAGGGCCACGACAGAGATTTCGCCCTACTCCTCGTGGTGTTAACATGATAGTATGGAGCCTGGATAATCGCTTTGTACTGGCTGCTATAATGGGTATCTTATCTTAATTGCATATTCAGTTCAAAAGTTTCGCATTGGAACATACTTTTATTTCATCAAAGCTTATGTTGCTCGGACTCGGGTGCGGGTATCGATACGGGTGCGGACCTACAGATCGGATTCTTGATCACATAAAGTTTAGGATTGGGGGGTATGCATTCGAGTGCGGATACGGGTGCTGGGATACGGTAAATAAATGTAACATATAAAGTATATACTTCGATTAGTTAAAGTTATTGAACTAAAACTAATAACAATTAATTCTTTATAGACACCTAATATTTTATTCATAAGATATCTCGCATAATAGAAAAACATAATATAACTATGTTTATATATTTGACATAAACCCAAATATCAAACCAACTACCCAATCAATTTATACTTCTCGGTCATGGAATGTAGTCAAAGTACCCAAGGTAAGTAAATCTGGTGTGGATCCACACCTTTCGTGTCGACACAGGTGCGGCAAGGGTTTTGAAGAGTCCGAACAACATAGAATTCAAAACTATTTTAAATATGATTATGGGATGAAAATTTCATTTCTTTCCTATTAAAGTTTGGTGTTTGTGAAGTGAAGCATCTAGTTGTTGACCCGTTATACCATATACAAAGTTGATTCTTAACAGGCATGAATGCACATTCACAAGCTTGTTAGTAGGAGTATGTCGTGACACTAACGAGCAA